CCCCCGCCCCATTCCCCCCAGGGGAATGTTTAATGGCCAGGTAGCTTGCGGAAAGCTCCCAGGATCATTCTGCTTCCTCTTTCTAATATCAGACCTGCCAAGTAAGGGCTCGCTCCCCGCCCCCTGCCCCCAGCTCACCTGGGCACTCCCTGCCAGCTTCCTGTTCTGTTTCCCACAAGGGCTCCTGGACCAGCTGCCTCCCAATCCCTTCCTCCTTCTCAAAGAAAGGCCCCTGGGGTGTAAACTCCTTCATCCTTCTGCTACTCACTGCCCACAACTTCAAACTCACCCTCGTCTCTCCTGGCCTGGAGCCTCTAAGCAAGCAATAATCTCCTGTAAGGGCCTGTTCCCTCCCGGCCACGCACTAGGCCTCGTTCAAACCCTTCTCTTGGATGCTTGGGGTCACCTTCTAGCTGGCCTGTCTGCCCCCTCCGGCTTCCTTCCGACCGGACCGCCCTCCACCTTCTGCTGGCAGTGACATTTGTAAAATTCCATTTTTTTTCCCGCTCTGTGCTTCATTAAGACAGCCTGCCGCTTCTTTTCCATGGCGCAATCCACTACCCATAACTGGGGGGCTCCGGTTCCAGCTTCCGCCCACCTCCCGACTGCCTCCAACTCTCACACCCCTTTGCCCTCTCTGCCTCAGGGCCTTTGCATGCACACACGCGTGCGCACGCACACACACACTTGTTCATATGCCCTTGTGCTGACCCCCCTGCCTCCAGCCAGGCACCTCACGCCTGTCTTTAACACTTGGCGTCCAGCACAGATTTAGCACATCATCCGTGGTTCTCTTTGCTCTACTGTTCCCAGGGCTCTTGCATAGTAAATATCAAAAATGCCACTCTCCTGTGGACCAGATCTAGGCCCCAATCCCAGATCTGCCAAACTAGCCTGTCTCCTTAGCGAACTCCCCTCTGAGCCAGCTTCTAAGGCTTTACTTCCCCAGTGCAGGGGCAGAACCCCAGAGCCAGAATCCCCAGTGATGTCAGCAACCAGGCTGACCCTGGCTAGGTGAGCGACGGCTAAGCCCTTGGGTCTGGCCAGCCCAGTTCAAGGTCAAATCCGCCTCTAACAGCTGCAGAAAATACCTGCGATTCACTACTTTGTGATTTAGGCCTTTCCTTCGGCCTTGGAGAATCTGGGGCTAGTGTTTTGCGGCATTTCCTACGAATGGGGGCCAAGTCTCCCAGGTGAGGGGCGCAGGGGGCATGCGCGCGCACGCACACGCACACACACACACACACACACACACACACGACACACACGCGCACAACGCGCAACGACACACCCACGCGAAGTTGGGGCATTTTTTTCTGAGACCTTCTGGGGCAGGAGCACGCAGCCCGTGAGGCCAGGCTCCAGGCCCTCCAGACTTCAGGGATTAGTCGTGGATTTCCGGGGACTTTCCGAGTCCGTTAAAGCCAGACAGTGTCTTGCCGCTGGGCAGATGGTGATCCTAGAAACCACCCTTCCACGCGCACAGGCGCGCACACACACAGGCGCACGGAAGCCAAGCCGGCCGGCCCCGCGGCGGCCCTGGGGTCCACCCAGCTGGAAAGCCCCGCGCACCGAGCTGTCGCGGCGCCACGCCGGGGCCACGTCCGCGCGGGGGGAGGCAGGCCCCCACCCC